TTCTTATCAGTTTGCCTTTTACTATGCAGAGAACTTTTTTTTTTTTTTTTATGGTACTGGAGATGGAACTCAGGACCTTGCACTTGCAAGGCAGGTGCAGCACCACTTAGCTAAATCCTCAGCCCACAAGCTAATATTTTTGATACTTCAGGCTGATACTTTCAGTATCACAGTGAAAGCAATGATACAGAGTTATTTATTGATATAACCATTTTCATTGTTCATAGTTTAGAGCATAATTTATATATATATTTTTATTTGGTGGGTAAATAATTCCTTCAAGGAAAATAAAATAGGTGGGCTGGGGATTTAGCTCAGTGTTTCAGTACCTGCCTCACAAACGCAAAGGTCCTATAGGAGTATATGTTCCTTCAGCCAACAAACATTTGTTGAGAACTTACTTGGCCAGGATTTGTGCTAGTTATGGGCTGTAGAAGGATTGAGGGGACCTCTGATAATGGACAGGTACCATATTTCCAGGATTGCAGAACAATACAAGAGCTTTTACAGGTAGGCAGAGGGCCCTCAGTACCACATCCAGTGGGACATGTTAAGATTGACTTGTGTTCTTGACTGCCTAGATCAGTAGCGAACCTATGGCCACAATGGGCATGCAGAGTCCCCCTTTGGCATGCAAGCCAAGTCACCCCAGTATAGCCCCAGCAGTCAAGCAATTAGGCTTAATTGCAGTGTTGACATTGTGTGATAAGTGGGTTTTGGGGGGCTGGGTGTGTAGCTAGTGATACCACACCTGCCTGGCAAGCATAAAGTCCTGAGTTTGATTCCTGGTCATTAAAAAAAAAAAAAAAAGGGTTTTAGGTTGCTGTTTGGGCACTTGGTCTCTGAAGGATTTGCCCTCGCTGGCCTAGACCTTTTTCACTTCATTTGGGTATCCTTTGAGCTCTTTGGAGGCAAAGTAAACAGCCCCCTATGGACTGGTTTCGCTTCAGAATTTCTCTCACAGGACCACTCACTGGGACCTTTAAGGAGCTGGGTGAGGCTGGTCAGCGTTGTCCTTAGAAAACAATCTGTGGGTAGCATCCAGATGAGTCATTCCATTGTCCCTCACTGACAATGATTTTGGAACCAGGGGAGTTCTTTAGCCACAGTGCAGTAAAGAGTTTGGAAGAAAAAAACAGTTGGGAAATCCTTTCACATCCAGCTAAAGGGTTCAGAATAGGAAGGTATTAAATGTCCTAAGGGGTGGGGGTGGCATTCCTTGGGCCCTTGCTAGCTGCTTTCCTGTTAGGGAACCCAGCTGCTGCTCTCAAGGGCCAGTGAGGTTGGTGTCATGTCCATTATACAAAGGGAGTCAACAAGACTTGGATGAGGTGCTTAGCACTAGACCCAGTTTTGTGATACTGAGCCCCAGTCTTCTTGCTGTACTCAGGACCATTCGTACTCCTCTGATGGACTAGGTGAAGTCACAGACAGTATTTGTGAGGATGTTGTTTAGGAGGGAAATAATGGGCTTAGGATCTGAGAGCTAAAAACTAAAGCCAAAACTTAGCAGATGTAGTAACCAAAAACTAGTCTCAAGATCAAAGTATGAAGGCGATAACGGAGCAAAATTGGGTTGGAAATAATCAAAGTTGCGGTTGTGGGTCACCAGATTTGTACACCTGTTCCTCAAAGGTGGTTTCTAAAGGCTATAGGATTGCTTTTCTTTTTTAGAAGGAAGAGTGATGGGAGAGACTAGAATAGGGGAGCTATGTTTCCTCCTTTAGCTGCTGGATAGAGATAAAGCTGGGGATGTTGATTGCATAGGAACCAACAAGAAGCAAGATGGGAGAGGGGTTCGATGATATGCAGCAGATCTACCCAGTGCTGGCTTTGGGATTCCTCCCTTGTCCAAAACACTGGAGTCACTTGAATGTTGTCTTAGTTTTTTTTTTTTATTAAAGTTTTCAGTCTTAAAACATTGCCAGAAATAACCAAAAGATGCATTGTCTAAATAAAACTAAAATACTGTGAAGGCTATAGAAGAAAATTTGAGCAGATGGAAAAATATACCAACTCTTTGAACAAATGTAACCAACTTGAAGTTACTAGTCTGCAGTTAACCATTGTAATATCCTAATAAAACCAACAGGCCTTTTAAAACTGAAGTTAATGTGAAGGAAAGATAATAGCTGGAAGAACTAAGGGAGAGGGATATGTGGTGTGTTTAATGCCAGAAAGTATTAAAACTATAGAACTAAGTGTCATTTTGATACATACATGGACAGGCCAGTAAAGCAGAGTGGAAAGTCTGGAAATATATGCATGACAATTTAGTATGATAAATGTGTTACCTAGAACCAGTGAGAGAGAAAGAGAAAAAAAAAGATGATTTTTCAATCAAGAGCGTTGGAATTGGGCCCAGGGATTTAGCTCAGTGGTTCCGCTGCTTGCCTTGCAAGCACAAGTTCCCAAGTTTGATCCAAAAAGTGTTGGAACCACTTGGTAACCTCTGAAAAAATGTAGTTTCTGTACTTTACACCATCAGCCAATATATATTTTTAATGCATAGAAATTTAAATATAAGGGGAGAAAAAAAAAGCAGGAGGAAATGTGGGCAATTCCTTTAAATTCATAGGGGATGTGGAAAGCCTTCCTCACTTGAACCCCACATCTAGGAGTCATAAGTGAAAGTTGATCAAGTCTATGTAAAACAAAACTAAAAAAGTCTTTTTAAGATTAAGGTCCCAGGACCGGGGATTTAGCTCAGTGGTTCTACCACCAGCCTCACAAGTGCAAGGTCCCAAGTTCGATCCCCGGTACCAAAACCAAAACCAGGTCCCAAACACCTAAGCCAAATTGAAATTAGACTAAAAGCAAAAACAAAACAACAAAAAAAACTAAAGAAAAAGCTTTACAGCTCAACTCTAAGGGTTAATACATAAGGAGCTCCTGGAAATTAATATGAGAAGGACCGATGGCCCAGTAGAAAAATAAGCAAAGAGCCGGGTGTGGTGGCACATGCCTGTAATCCCAGCACTCGGGAGGCTGAGGCAGGAGAATCACTGTGAGTTCAAGACAAGCCTGGGCTACATAGTTCCAGGTCAGTTTCAAGTACATAGTGAGATCCTGTCTCCAAAAAAAAAAAAAAAAAAAAAAAGCAAAGTAAATGCAGATAGTTCTGAAATACAGGAAGGATTTCTTGACCTTGTTCATGAGAAATATAAATTAAGACTTCTTTAAAAAGCTGGTTAGTAAAAAAATCTCATTGTTAACACATTGGCAGTGCCATGGGAAGCAGACATTTGTACCAGTCCACTAGTGGGAAGGTAAACTGGTACGACTCCTCTCAAGAGCAACTTGATAGTATGTGTCAGAATTTTAAAATGCATATATTCTTTGAACTGGCCACTCCATTTTTCTGGGCAAGTCACCGTTCCTCTCCTGTGTTAACCCCATAGGGTTGTGACAGTTGTGGGAGATGAAGCACAGAAAAGGACTTGGTACAAGTTTGGAGAACACGGGAGGGAGGTTCTCCCAGAATGTTGGCTAGTAGTACAGTAAGGAACGGGCATGGAGTTCTTACATTGCTGCCTTATATCTTAACTTTGCTTGATAACTTCTCATGTATTATTTAATCCTCCAGGCAACCCCATGAAATAGGTGCTGCTGATTATCACCAGTTAGCCTTTGAGGGGACAGACACAACAATGGGAAGGGGGTTGTAGAACAGATTTCAAGCTTAAACAGATATCCATGCCTGCGATCCACTCTGGTGCAGTGAGGTGAGAGTGTGCTGATTGCTGTAGGAGCATGCCTAAGTGCATGGCCTGGTTGTATCACACTACCCAAGGGGCCATGTATATATTTTTCTTTTTTCTTGGTGGCGTAGACATGGAACCCAGGACCCTTACTTGTAAGTGCTATGCCTCTAAGCTACCCCATCTCCTGGAACCCACAGGGCCTTACTGGTTTTTGAGGGAAGAGGTGGCTTTCAGACAAGGCTCTGCTACTTTCAAGGTCAGTAATCATAGGCCAGTGTTGTTTTAATCCATTTTCAATCCATCTCCTGATTTATAAAATGGGTATTACCAATTTTAAGGGTGGTTGTAAGGATTAAAAGATGAACACAGCAAAGCACTCAGGTCCTCACGATCTGTGCTTACTGAAGTGAAATGAACCAAAGTAGATAGGGCTTGAGGTTTAGTCCCTAGGTTCAATCCCAAAACCACTACCGCCAAAAGAAAAAAAGTGGATGGGATGGAGCAAGTTAGTGGAAGCATTCTAGGAAGAGGGAACACCATATTCCAAAGCTACAGAACCATAAAGAGCCTAAAGAATCCAGGAAGGGGAGTGAGAGGCCAGCGGGTGGGGTGGTGGCTGATGTCTTTGAGGACCAGCTAAGAAACTTGAACTATTTAATAGTAAAGATAAAATGAAGAGAGCCACCATTTGTTGAAGTTTTGCTATCTAATCCAATTGTTCTGGTCGTGGTGGTACACACCTGTAATCCTAGCCAGCACTTGGGTGGTGATGCAGCAGGAGGATGGCCGCGAGTTTGAGGTTGCCTGGGCTATGTAGTGAGTTCAAGGCCAGCCTGAGCTACACAAATTATCAGTTCTATGTGTAGAAAGATCCCCTGCACCACTTGTTGCATTGATTCAAATATGCAGTGGTGAGCTGCTTTGAATTTCAGATATATTTTAAAAATGATTATAGTTTTTCTTTTACTTCACAATTTATGCTGCAGAAAATGAGAAACACAAGAACAAATTTAAACGTAAGACACTAATTGCATCTACCAGAGACATCCCAGTTGCTATCTTTTGGGTCTTTTTTCTTCTCTGCAAAAAACAGTTATTAGAATGGCTGATAGGTGGAAGATGGAAAGTGACCACTATTTAGCGTTCCTGATATTCTCTTTTCCTTTCCTTTTTATTAGGATCAAACCCAGAGCAGAGGCCAGTTTCTCGCCACTCTTTGGGGAAAAGTCCCCAGTGCTCCGCCCCGCGACGCTCACTTGAGTCTCCAACCCAGCTCCAGGGGGCGCTTCTGTAAAATGGGGAGAGTAGGAAAGAAAGCGACGCGAAAACGCGATTGAATTTGGGCACCGCCGCTACCCGTAGTCGGCGTCTCCAATATGGCTGCTCCCCAAGATGTCCACGTCCGAATCTGTAACCAAGAGATTATCAAATTCGACCTGGAGGTGAAGGCTCTTATCCAGGTACTAATTTGGGAGACTCTTCCGGGATCTAGGAGTCCTACCTCAGATGTTGCTGGCTTCTGTAAACTCGGTGGTGTTACACCCGAACTTTCCCCTGGCCACTGGCTCCCCCTCAAGGCCAGCTACTCCGTTGTCCCCTTTTGGTCTAGTCCTCCCTTATTTCTCCCTTAGGTTGCCACTGGCTCACTTTCTTCTGAGGCACATAACCCCTTCCTCTCACCTAGCTTCCCCGTAATGGCCCCTCTTGATCCACCCTCCCTCTCGGCTGTCGTCCCGCACCTGAGCACCTCACAACACACCTGTCACCCACCTGACACCTCCTTCCACTTCAACTGGTAGCGTCCCTGAGATAATGATCTCGCCTATCTTCTGCAGACCAACCCCTGCATCCGGTGCCCCGTGGCGCCCAAGGCTACCTATCACGGGAGTCACTGGCTATTGTTAACAACCTGGAGTGTATGTGTGTGTGTGTGTGTGTGTGTGTGTGTGAAGAAATCAAATAATGCACCGTGTGTGTGTGTGTGTGTGTGTGTGTGTGTGAGAAGAAATCAAATAATGCACCAAGGCCGGGTCAGAAGGCAGACAGTGACAAAGCTAGAACCCAGATGGGGAAAGTACACCAAGGAAAAACATCTTAGCGTGTCTCTACTCCTTTTAACAGATGGGAAAATGAAATGCTCCACCTTAAGCCATTTAAAGGTAGAAAATAGTAGTGCAGCAAACCCTTGTCATAGGCAAGAATTAGGAATGTAGATATGGCTCATTAATTTAACAAAAAGAAAACGAGAGTTTTAAACAAACTTTCCCTTTCCAACAAATGTCACTAAACATTAGATGTAGACTCAGAGTTTGCAACAGACTGTGGCAAAATGTGAAGCAAAGTAGGTTTCCCCTGGTAAACCAGATACAGGATAAGTCAAATTAGTGGCTTATCATATACTACAAGGAGATGTGATTTGATAAACCAGAGAACAAATGAAGAAACTAATTTCTTTAATTTCTTAGACATATAAACTCCAAAACTGGGCCAATCTTAGAACAAACATAGGATTAGATTTATACAAGTGAAATCTCAGGGGCTGAGGTTATAGTTCAGTAATAGAGCCCATGCTTTGCATGTGCAATTCCCTGGGTTCAGTCCCCAGCACAGATGACAGATGTGTAAGTATGCACACGCAGAAATACAAATAAATTCCCTTTTATATCATTCTAGCATTCAGGATCTTCTGATTACTAGTTAGAATGATCAATTATAACTAGATGTATTGCATTCTTATAATGTTCCAGCTGTTCTGCTAAGTGCTTTAGATATATGATCTGGAGGGAGGAAATGTGAGAGGTACAGAAAATTTAAGTAACTTTTTAAAGGTTGCACAGCTATTAAGTTGCTACATCTAGGATTTGAATACACATAGTCTGGCTCTAGAGCCTGCTCTAAAACAGTCCAGTAATTTTGAATTTATTTCCAGAAACAAGATCTAAATTTATCCTTATACTAGTCTGTAAACAGTGATGTGTAAAAGATGGCTTGTAAAGTCAGACTAAATTACCCTTGTCATATGTTGCCAGTAATTTAAGAATTCTGATTTTCAAATTGGAAAGATCTGGAGTTATGCTGTCACTTTTGGATATTCATTCTTATTGGGCATGTAAGCCACTTTAGGTCTTTCATACTGGTCAGGTGATGATTTGTTAAACTTTAGGGACTAATATAATTTAGGTAGAGTTGTGCTTCTTCCAGTGCATTTATTATCTTTTTTTTTGGAGGCAAGCACTCTTCCATTGAGCTAAATCCCCAGGCTGCTCTATATTTTCTGTTCAGCATTAAAGAGGGATGAGAAAAATTCAAAGAATCTTTTTGTTTGTGTTGCAAAGGTAAACAGCGAAGATCAGAATGAATTATAGTCAGGCCAACCTTAGTTGTGATCTAAGTCAACTTTCTTACTGTACAGATGATGTCATTTCATTTCATTGCCTCATGAAAGGCTCCTCATCTCTTCAATGTCCCCTAGGATATTCGAGACTGTTCAGGACCCTTAAGTGCACTTACAGAACTGAATACTAAGGTGAAAGAGAAGTTTCAACAGTTACGACACAGAATACAGGTGAGTGTGATTGCAGAACCATGATTCTGAGGTGGGTAACAATGAAGGGGTCTTGGTCGTGAGAATAAAACTTTATTTGAGAACTCCAGGTACTTCAGATACAAACTGGAGGAAATGGTAAATAGACAGTGAAGGTGACTCAGTAACCAATCTGTTCTTTATAATTGAGCAACGTGAATGCAGATTGGAATTTTTTCAACTTGAAAACCCTGAGGGCATTCCAACTATTTTTTTTCACCACTTTCTCCAACCCTTTACTCATTCCTCACCTTAATCCATCAGTAGCATCTCATGGGTGTTTTTATACTGTCACTTTGCCTAGTCTGAAGTCACCAGTCACATCATAGGCACATTAACATACCTGAATTCAAGTATGTTGTATGTGCTGTCTCAAAACTAGTGAAATGGACCAGTTTAAATAACAGAGGCGCTTTTACTACTGTGCCATCATGAGAGAAAGATGGGCAGTGTGGATCTGCCTGTCTCAAAGTGGGTCGGGAAGCACTTGGTTTTGCAGCATGTGGTAATGACTTCATATGGCATGGTTCCAAAAGCCAGCCAACAACTTTGTTGTTGCCTGTCAGATAAAGACAGTCTGTCCCAAAGTTGGCCAATTAGGCTGCTGAGAAACAGTATGTCTACATCCTGTACCTTCCTAAAGGATTTTCAGGGCAATTTGAAAATAGACAATTTTTGTCACAGTAGTTAACTCTAGAACTTTAGCACTGTCACTACATTTAGCTGAGCTCTTTTTGTCTTTACCTCTAGCACTGATTTAATAAACTTAATTTTTTTTAACTTTTTGCTATATTGGGGATTGAACTCATGGCCTTATATGTTCTAGGCATGTGCTTTACCACTGAACAACATCTCTAGCCCAATTTTATTTATTTATTTTTTGGTTTTTTGAGACAGGGTCTCACTGTGTAGTTGAGACTGCCCTGGAACTCACTATGTAGCCCAGGCTGGTCTCGAACTCACAGCGATCCTCCTGCCTCAGCCTTCCGAGTGCTGGGATTACAGGCGTGCACCACCACGCCTGGCCCAATTTAAAATTTTAGGTTTTTTTCTCTGGTACCAGGGATTGAACTCAGGACCTTCCGCTTGCAAGGCAGGTGGTGGCACCATTGAGCTAAATCCCCAACCCCCAATTGTAAATTTTTGAAACAGTGTTATTTTCACATATCATGTATTATATGTATGTGTTTACAGAATTATTAGCATACATGAAAAGTCTGTATGATTCTTATTCTCTGTCATAAACAGCTAACCACTTTTAATTTGTAACCATATATTTTCCCAGAGTTTCTGTACTCAAATTCTTATCTAAAAGTTAGCGTACTGTAATACCGCTTTTCAAAACAATGTGTACTAGAAGACTTTGTGTACCAGTACCATTGCGTCTGCAAGGCAGGTGGCAGAACCATTAAGCAAAATCCCCAGCTCCCCCCATATTTTTATTTTTAAGACATTTTTGCTAAGTTCCCAGGCTGGGTTTGAATTTACCATCCTCCTGCCTCATTCTTCTGAGTAGCTGGGATTACAGATGTATGCAACCATGCTCAGTTCCCATCCTACTTCTAATCTGCATTTCCTAAGTATTTGCCTACTCGTTATACTTGGAAATATATACAAGATTTCTGTTTGATATTTTTAGCTCTCATATGAATATCTTTTGTGTATTTGTAACAAGATTGTATGATATGAGAAGATAATTGGTTTCATATCACCAAAATATGCTGTTCAATATATAGTCATTGTTGGCCATTGACTGTGTAAATATCTCTGACTATGTGCATCTGTCTTTGGGCATATGGTTCTCAAACTGGAGTTTGAGAATTACTATATCCCTTTTCTTTTGTACAGAACTAGTCCTGGTTCTCTACACCAGATTTTCCAGGAAGTCTTTCATGAAGAAATTGTGTGTTTCCTCTCTCCTTTCCTCCTTCTATTCCCCTTCATTGTGGGGATCCATTCTTTCCTTCAATGATTCAGTGCCTAGTATATGCCAAACTAAAGAGTAAATGTAGTGAGTAATACTAGGTATAGCTCTGTTTTCAGTGAGCTTGCATTCTAGTAGGCAGTATAGATTTTAAAGAACTAATTGTACAAATGACTGATGACGTTTGCAAAAATTTTCCAATTCACAGTCAATTTTTTCTTCTTTTCTGTGCCTCAGCAATATTTAGGAGGATAACTTTGAAGTAATATCTGAGCTATGGAGCTGTAGGTACACTTTTTCCAAACTAGCACATAAAAATTAGTATATAAATAACTAAGTGAGGTAATACATTTATATTTTAGATCAATAGCTTGACTGAAACTAAAACTTCTTAAAATTTGTAAACAAAACTATATGAAGAGACTTGAGGTGTCTCTTCACCTCTAGCATGCTTGAAGGTTCTATTATCTGAAGTTCTTTGGGGTGTAATCCCACTGGTTGTCACCTCTGCTGCCTATCACTCATGGTAGGTTGTTTCTCTGGTGTTTGGTTATTTTAGAGGACTGTGAGCACTCATCTTCTACAGGCCTTTCTGGCATACTTTGTGTAGTCTGAGTCCAGAGCAAGTCTTTCAGGAGTTTTCATATTTGCTTCTGCCAGGTCTCCTGGAATTAATCACAAGTCTGGAGAAGCTTTTTATGTAAATTTCTCTTTATGGATCTTCTGAGCTACTCAAGGAAAATAAGTTGGAACCTCATATCAGTGTCAAAGAATCTTCTTGATTATAAATTCTCAGGCGATATTTTTTATTTTTACCCCTCTAACCAGAAACCACAGCCCAAAATAGACACTTTGCTAATGGATGGGCATTTTTCTTGACCTTTTTCCCAGGAATATAACCTTTTATGTTTCCTAGTCCTCACTTCTAATTCTCAGTCTCAGGTGGCATGAAGCTTCATTTTTCTGCCCTACATCATGACCTTTCAAACCCTCAAACTATTTGTAACTGATCTCTAATGAAAAAAGTACAGAAATTGAGAGTATTTACTTTTTGTTTGCTTTGTTTGTTTGTTTGTTTTGAGACAGGGTCTCACTGCGTAGTTCAGGCTGTCCTTGAATTCTGTGTAGCCCAGGCTGTCCTTGAACTTACAGTGATACTCTTGCCTTAGCCTCTTGAGTGCTGGGGTTACAGGCAAAGAAAGAACATTTGGAAACATGGTTGTTTGATATTCTGTGATATGTAAGTATGGGATCAGTGGGCTAATATTTTAAACTTCTTTTTATTTCAGGCATACCTAATATTATAGGAGCCGCAACTCCTACTCCAGGGTAACCATATATTAACTCACAGGCTGACACTGGCTCTTAGTGTCCCTTCTCTTTTCGGCCTAGGAATTTTCCTCACCTGCTTGCAAACTGAGCTATGTATTTAAAAGGATATGTGTTATATATTACTTAGCATTCTTGGGTATCCTGTTTTAAAAGGGTACTTCAAATGGAGTTGTGTGCCCTTGATAGAAATAGAAGTGCTTTTCTGTTTTCATATTGGCTTTTAAAATCATTTTAACATAGAGCTATTTTCTCCTCAAAGGAGCTTGAGCAGTTGGCTAAGGAGCAAGACAAAGAGTCAGAAAAACAGCTTCTACTCCAGGAAGTGGAAAATCACAAAAGACAGATGCTCAGGTAGGCCTGGCCTCCTTCCAGGTGCCTCTGTAGGCTCATTTGCTTCCTTGTGTATGTGTTTCACTAATAAACCTGGTTCATTGGTGACTTAATTGTGTCATTTACACACGGGCTGAATGGTCTCAAGATCAGTAATTCTCAAATGGAGGAAGGGAGGAAGGACAAGCAGAGCTTACATGGGCAGTTGGAGATGTGCATAGTTTACAAAAAATTTAACATTATACTGTATTTTACATTTTTGAAACAAAACAAAAAAATGGATCAACTTAATCTAATAATAATTTGTACTAGAAAAACTCCATTGAAAGTGAACTTTCTTAAGATGGACCAAAATTTAGAACGTTTTGAGTAGAATGTTATCTGGAAAATGACAAAAAATATAAGTAAATAAACTTGTGTTAAACAAATTTGAAAGTTTAATTGCAGCTGTGCTAATCTTTGATTCTAAAACTACAGCTATATGCTATTTCTTGATTTTCATTAGGAAGAGGTACTACTTTCCATTACAGTTATCTTACAACATGAAATAAATAGTACCTTTCTTTTCACACTTGACTTTTGTATTATAATGATAAGGAGAGTTGTTTTTGCAAAACTGTTAAGAATTCATATACAAAATTGCAAGTATGAATATGTTTTTGTTTAATGCTGGGAATTAAATCCAAGGCCTTGTGTATTAGCGTGTACTCTACCACTGAACCATTCCCCCTTTCCCCATGTACTTTCTTTTAATCATTTCCAGGGATAGAGACCAATGTTATTATTCATACTTTCAGAATATTAAATTTATTTTTATGACTCCCTCAACTTTCCCATTCTTCTGGTATTCAGGTCATTCTCTTTTGAAGCCCCTGTTATCTCAGCATTCCTGTAGAGATTTTTTTTTTTGTTTGTTTGTTTTTTAAGCGGGAACCTGAGGTTTAAACTCAGAGCCTTTGCACTTAGCTACATCCCAGCCCAATTTTTATTTTTTTAAGTTAAGACAGAGTCTTGCAAAGTTGTCCAGATTGGGCTTGAATTTAGGATCCTTCCTGCCTCAGCCTCCCAGAGTGTTGGAGCTCTGTGACACCAGGCCTGGCTTCTCTTTGTCTCTTGTTCATTGCTCTGACTCTATTTGTGGCCTTGCTTCTGAGTCGAGTAATCCTCCAGCATCATCCTCACTGACAACAACTGTGTGTATAACACCCAGTCATCAGGAGATGATGGATAGACGTGGGCATGGTGGAAGCCAGTGAGAACAGTGAGGAGTGTGAATGATGAGCATTGTTCCACGCTCATCCTGTGCTATGATGGCAGTTTCTTTCCTATGCCATCAAGGGTACTCAGATGACAAACATGGAGTGGAGAGGGGCACTTGTAATAAAGTATAGTAAGTTACACCAGACACAGTCCACTTAGTGTGGCCTTAAAGCTAAGAATGGACCTGGTGTGGTGGTGCACGCCTGTAATCCCAGCACTAAGAGGCTGGAACAGGAGGATTGCCATGAGTTTGAGGCCAACCTAGGCTACATACTAAGTTCAAGGCCAGTCTGAACTCCATAGTGACATCTTGTTTCAAAAAAAAAAAAAAGCTGAGAATGGCCATTCATGATGTGAAGTTACAGGTTAGAAGAGAGAAAGCAGTAGATTACTACTTTGCCAGGTGTGTGTTATAATAATTGTGCTTGCTTAGGTTATCATGTTTGTTACACCATCCAGTAAGGATTTGTTTGCTTGTCTTTCTCCCCAGTAAATGTGAGCCTCTTCAGGGCAGGCACTGTCACTCATTCATCTCCCCACCCTATGGCCCCGTGCAACTCATTTGCAGTTTAAAGACGTAATTGGTTCTTTTTAAATGGCAGGTATGAAATGGCACAGCAGATGCCGCTCAGGCGTTGGAGAGCCCATTTGAAGACTTTCATCATAGAATTGCTATTAGAAAACTATTTACTTATGTTCATGTATTCTGTTTTATTTTTATTTCATTTTTTTCATTTATTTTGTGGTGCTAAGGATCAAACCATGGAGGCCTTGCTCATGCTAGTCAAGCACTCTATTGCTGAGCTATAGCCCTAGTCCCGTTTCAATTCTTCTTGAATATTTCCAGGGGAAGGACCGTTGATTTGAGCTGGCTGTGTAAGAGTTCTAGAGCATGAGTTTGATTCTTAGGGGGGATGCAATTAGCTTTTGATAGTCTGTCAGTAAAGGCTATATTGCTAGCCTCAGGAAGCTGCTCAACAAATTTCAGTTGTCATTCCCAAAGGAGATTAGGTAATGATTATGGCTAAATTATGTCAATCGACCTTGCTGATACCCTATGTTTATATTGTCCATATTGATCTGTAGTATATAAAGAACAGCACATCTTGGAGGAATATTGAGAAAGATTGACTTTTGTGGTCTTTTTACTTCCTAGAACAACATATATTCATGGAGTAGCTAAAGGGCTAGAAATGGTAGTTCTAAGTACTGGAGGAGAAGAGATGAGTAGTAAGTTGTGGTTCTCAAGGTATGGCATATCCGGGACCTTAGAAGTCATTTGACAGAATGAGGCCTTATGTACTGAGCTGGGTGGTTTGGATCCTACCCTGAAGTCTGGAGCCATTGTGCCTGGTCCATGTGTCTTCCACATGCCTGAGAGGGGAGGGATGACAGAATATCCTGGAGACAGCTTCTGGGATCCAGAAGAGAGGTAGAATGGTTGCTGGGCAACCCAAAAGAAGAAGTGTCAGGAAGTAGGATATCTACACTGTAAGGATGAACTGTTGTGATTAGAACTAGCAACCTGAAGGGGCCAACAGAAACTCACTATGACTCTTCTCTTCCAGCAACCAGACCTCGTGGAGGAAAGCCAATCTCACTTGCAAAATTGCAATTGACAATCTCGAGAAAGCAGAGCTTCTCCAGGGAGGAGACCCTTTACGGCAAAGGTATTTGTCCTTTCCTGTTTCTGGGCTCTGATAACAGGATAGGTAAAAAGTAAAACCCTCAATAGGGAGCTGCCTCTTGCTTTCATACTTAGTATTATTATTATTATTATTTTTTTTTTTTTTTTTTTTGGTACTGGGGATTGAACTCGGGTCCTTGTGCTTGTGAGGCAGGCGCCAGAATCACTGAGCCAAATCCCTGGCCCCATACTTAATATTATATAAATAATACTTTTTCAAGTAAATGGTAAAATAAAGAAAAATATGAATTACAAAATGAAAATAGGCTATACTCATTATTCATGAACATTTTGCTACATTTCGTCTCCGTTTTTTTCCTTCCAAAATTTTTACAGCCAAAATCTATACCATGTATAAAGCTTAGTATCTTACTCTTCTTCATTCAGTATTATCGCATAAAGCCTTGCTTGTTTTTTTAAAACTTTTTTTTCTTTTTTCTTTTTGGTTTTTTGAGACAGAATTTCTCTGTGTAATTCAGGCTGGCCTTGAATGCACTGTGTAGCCCAGGCTAGCCTTGAATTTGGAGCCATCTTCCTGCCTCAGCCTCTTGAGTTCTGGGATTACAGGTGTGTGCCACCACACCCAGTTTAAGGAACTCTTTAAACATAATTTTAATAGTCCAAAGTATATAATTGTATTAATTAGTCTCCTGTTTGTATGTGTTTATGTTTGTAGTTTTCAGTATTTTTAAGTAATGCACCAGGGCAGGTCTTTTATCCACATTTTGGATCATTCCTTTGGAGAGATTTCCAGGAATGAGATTATCGGGTCAAAAATGAACAGTTCTAAGTCTCCCAGCAAATTGCTTTGCAGACAGTAGTATCGACTTCCATTCCTACTAGAAGTCCACAAGAATGTGGTCTTGTGCACACACTTGCCAGAACTGACAGTGAATATGTACTAATATAATAGGTTAAAAAAAAATGGCTCTCATTTAAATATAGGGCTTTCTTAAAGCAAGGCTTTTGTTAACATTCCTCCTTCCTCCTTGGAACTTTTAGGAAAACTACCAAAGAGAGCCTGGCCCAGACATCCAGCACCATCACAGAGAGCCTCATGGGGATCAGCAGGATGATGTCACAGCAGGTCCAGCAAAGCGAGGAGGCTATGCAGACTCTAGGTAAGGCTAGGCCTGGAGTGGGAAACTTTGCTGGAGATGCTGGCCCCAGAGAACTCGCCCCACCCCCACTGCCCATTGGAAGCTTCCCAAATTATGTGGCATCTCACTCATAAGACATCTCAAAACTGAGCCCTGCACAGAGTGGAGTGTGCTGCTCTCATCTCTCCTTTAGTTATTACAGTTCTAGAAGACCCCACACTCCATCATGTTTCCTAGTGGAAACATTCCCAGGGCATAAGTGAAAAGTAGAAATCTCTAGGCCTGTGCTTCAGTAGGTGTTGGCAACACTGGGCAACATGCCTGGGAGGAAAATCCCCTAAGGAAGAGAGTTTTTTGGGGGGTCACAGTTTCATTGGGGTCATAGTTTCAGTCCATAGTCAACGGGCTCTAAGGCCAAGGTAGTCTGGCAGTGGGGCATGTTGTGGGACAGATAGCTCATGGCATGGTGATGGGGAGCAGAGAGAGTGTGGAGGAAGGAGGAGGAAAGACATAAACCCTTTCAGGCCACACCTACTTTTGTCTAGATCCCACCTCCTAACAGCGAATCACTGATAAGCCCCCTAGACCATTCACTTTCTGAAGCCCTGCTGTTAGCAAATGAGACTTTGGGGGACATCTACTTATAAACCATAGCAATCTCAGTATATCTGTCTTTTAAAAAAAAAATCAACCTCCCCCCAAAAAACAAGGTCTCTTTGGAAAAAATGAAGAAGAAACATAATACCATTATTACCCAAAAAAATTATTTATAATTTTTAACTGCTTTATTTTTTTCATTGCTCCATTCACACAGGCAGAAGGAAAAGGAAAGCTAGCTCAGTGACGTGAGGTTATTTCTTGTGTTTGACACTTGCCTGAGCATTTAGACTCAGGACCAGCCAGTCCCCTCTTCCAAACCTGTGCCTCAGGAAGAGCTTTGGGAGAAAGGGAGAATGAGGAGACAACTGGACTTTCAGGTCAAGGGCATATATGTGCTGATGAGGATGAAAAGGAAACAGATGCTGATGGTTTCTAGAGTGTAGAGAGGGCCCCAGTGTGAAGGTTGTTCTTGATTAAAGTCCCATCAGGACCTCAGCTTAAAAACAAAAAAGCTGGGCCAGGGATTTAGCTCAGTGGTTCTGCCACCTGCCTTGCAAGCGGAAGGTCCTGACTAAGATCCCTGGTACCAAAAAAGAAAATTCTTCTAAGGAAACAAATCTGCTACAAAAGGGTAGATGTGAGGGGAATGAATCAGTCTAGGGAGGGGCAAGAATTGTTGATGAGGGGTATCTGCCCCATATATGAGGATTGGCGATTCTTGGGTGATGAGCATGTAGCATTTCATGACACTAATCATAATTCTTTGATGGTTTCAAATGCTCCACAAGAATGAAGTTTAAAAAGAAAGGGCTAAGCCGGGGATTTGGCTCAGTGGTTCCGCTGCCTGCCTCGCAAGCACAAGGACCCGAGTTCGATCCCTGGTACCAAAAAACAAAAAGAAAGGTCTATTAGGTGTTCACTTAGCAAGTTATAAGGGTTTTGAAATGGCAGAGGCATGGGGAAAGAGGCTGAGAGGGACTATTGTAGTTTGTTCCCTCCTTCTGTCATACTGCTCTGACAGTATGTTCCTTTTCCTCTCATAGTTTATTTTATTGGCGTGTGCATGCTTTTGTGTGTGTGTGTGTGTGTGTGTGTGTGGATTGAACCCAGGGCCTTTACACTGAGGTACATCCCCAGCTCTTTTTTATTTTTTATTTTGAGACAAGGACTCACTGAGTTTCTGAAGTACCCAGCCTGGGTTCAATCTTGTAGTCCTCCTGCTTCAACTTTTGAGAATTACAGGTGTGCACTACTATGCCCAGCTTATTAGTTAGCTTTTAATTTTCTGCAAAGGTAAGGAGGGAGAAAAAAATACCCTAGTGTTGCCCACTAGAAACTTAATGGGAGCCACGTATATAACTTTAAATTTTCTGGTAGGTACATGATAGAAAGAAGAAATATGTGAAGTTAATTTTAGTGGTTTATTTTATTTAACTTATTATACATGAAATGTTACCATTCTTATGTACAATAAAAATTCTTGAGATAATCATTTCTTGGTAACTGAATGACTGGTTCTATGACCCACTGTGGATTCCAAGATCTCTTCTATAAAATAATGTAGTATTTGCACATAACCTACACACATCCTCCTACATACTTAAATCATCTCTAGAGTAATTACACAATCATCTCTAGAGTAATTACAACAACTAATGCAATATAAATAGTGTCATACTACATTATTTGGGGCAGTAAGACAAGTGCCCAAATTTCAACCCAAAACCCACTTACTCATCACAAAGTGCTAATGCTGCAATTAAACTTGAATACTGATGGTTTAGTTTAGAAAAAAATAACCCATGCATTAACATCTTTTGTCTTAAAAAAAAATGACACACATGCTATAAGTTTGCCACCACTGGTTTAGGGAATAATGACAAGAAAAATTCTGTACATGTTCAATATGTGTAAGTTTCCCCCCAGTATTTTCATCCTGATGTTGGTTGAATCCATTAAAGTGGAACCATGGATATGGCAGAATGCCTGTATGCATTCGTTTTTTTTTTTTTTTTTTCAAATCTTTGAGATCTTGTGTGTATTTTACACCTGCAGTGCCTGTGGTCCTAGCATTCACGAGGTTGAGGCAGAGGATCACTGTGAGTTTTACCTGTTTTAAAACAAAACACAAAGATAGCTCAATTGAATTAGCCACGTTTCATATGCTTAGGAGCCATGTGTGTACAGTGTTTGTCACATTGACAGTATAAAAAGCACCATTTTGCTAGGTGTGGAGGCCTGTAATCCCAGCTACTTTGGATTCCTGGAAGTGAGAGGTTTGTAAATTCAAGGCCTACCTGGCCAATTTAGCAAGACCTTGTATCAAAATAAAAAACAAAGAGGTAGAAATGCAGCTCAGTGGTAGAATACTTGCCCCAAATGTGGGAAGCTCTGGGTTCAATCACTAGCAGGGTACCATATTGAATAATACAAAGAGAAAATTAAAAGGTAGTTCTCCCTGATTCCAGCTGTCGCCTGGCCTCAGTCCTCTCAATCTACTCTTCAGAGGCCACTGCTATTACCAACTTCTTTTATGCCTTTCTGGTGTCTTCTGAGCCTATTTAACACAGGCAAATGAAGTGTTATTTATCCCCTTTTCTCACATAAATGAAAACAGTTCATTCAGACTCTTTTTTTGGTACTGGGGATCCAACTTAGGACCTTGCACTTTTGAGGCAGGCACAATGCCACTGAGCTAAATCCCTGGCCATCATTCAAACTCGTATTACCTTGCTGTTTCACTTGTTTCATTTGACGAAGGTTCCAGGGATGCCTTATTATCCTTTAGAACTTTGCCAGGTAAACCTCCAAATGTTAGGCCCAGAAACTTACACTCAGAAGTACATTTGAAAGCCCAGCCTGGGGTGTGCACCTGTAATCCCAGCACTTGGGAGGCTGAGGCAGAAAGATCGTTTTAAGTTTGAGGCCAACCTGGGCTCATACTAACTTCAAGGCCAACCTAGACTACATAGCAAGACCCTGTCTCCAAAAAGAAAAAAGAAGTACATTTGACTCTGGGCACAAGGAACCCCTTAAGGGACACTACCCTCTTAGGTGTCACATAGTAGCTGGGGCAAAGGTATCACATCTTTCAAACTGCTCCCAGTGTCCCAGACTGAAGGTCTCAGTCCATCCTTGCTCTTTTGTGGTCCTGCAAAGGTAAGTCTGACCATCAGATGTCCTGGTGGTCCACATTTCACTTATGGAAGGTACTGATGCCTCAGACCCCACCCCAACACAGCCTGTACATGATCACCTGGATAGTCTCGTGGCTGCTGGTATTCTTGGGAGTGCCTGTCTGCTTCAGAAAGCCAAGGTTGTGGTTAGACAAACACCCTGCTTCTGCCCTTCTACCTGCTGGTGTCCATGTTCAAGGACTCCCAAACAGGCCACACCATGTTGGGTGAGACCCAAGGAGGAGCCCTGCCTTGTCAGGTCCTTACTCTGCTCTTCTAGGTGATCTCAGTGGCACTGGCCTCAGATTGCCTGTCTTACTGATGGCTGGCAGAGCAAGCCCTTTGGCATTTGGACTGTTCCTTCTCTGAGTCAGGCTCCCTCCCTCTTTTGTTTCAGTCAACTCTTCACGAACTATCCTGGATGCAAATGAAGAATTTAAGTCCATGTCAGGCACCATCCAGCTGGGCCGGAAGCTCATCACAAAGTACAACCGCCGAGAGCTAACGGACAAGCTTCTTATCTTCCTTGCCCTGGCCCTTTTTCTTGCTACTGTCCTCTATATTGTGAAAAAGCGCCTTTTTCCATTTTTATAAGATGTGAGAGCTACCACCTTTGGCCTCATCACTCTTGTTTTCCGATCCATCTAGGATCCGAGCTCTAGCCAGGCTGCCAAATTGAGACACATCCTCCGCGTATGCTCCAGCTGCTCAGCGGATCAGGTGGAAGAAAGCAGCTCCTCTGTTTTCTGCAAACGTATGCCTTGCAAAGAGCAAGCAGAGCAGTGGGGGGCAAGCACCCCTACAGGATACAGACTCTAAACTTACCCAGCCATCGGACACTTTGGGTGGCTACTGCTTGGAGCACTTGGAGTCCAACCCCTGAGATTTTTTGCTCTTTTCTCCCTCACTCGGAGGCTTCAGGGCCAGATGTGGTGGAGGGGAGAGAAAAGGTGAGAAGAAAGAAGAACTGGTCATTCCTTGAATAAACTTGAATAAACTTCTATTTAATAGAATGAAAGATGTTGAGTTTCACAAGATTCTGCTCTGGGAATTTATGTGCCTCTTTTATGACTTTGAGAATACAAGTTTAGATATTGAACAAAGAATTAGCCGCCACATGCCATGTGTCCTAGATACTGCTGAACATCACACATACACCACTAAACCAGACACTGTTCATCTGTCAAGCAGCAACAGAAATAAGACCTCACAGCTGTTAGGAAGGGCAGTGCAAATAGCCTTCTATTGGAAGTGGCTCATCCCAACTTCTGAAAATGCCAAGGTAGAGGTCTCATCCTCTGTAACAGTACCCTGGTGGCTCCTAGGTGCGTGCAATAAACTAAGGCACTGGCTGACAACTTTTTCTCTGAGGTTCAGACTATGTATAACCAAGGGGAGAGAAGACAATGAAAAGCTGAGGCCCATGTGGGCCTGAGTTCTGTCAAGGACAGCTTCTCCCGACTTACAGCCCCAGAGGACACGGCTGGGTTATGTGGGAAAGTGGAAGGAATGAGGATTTGGAGGCTTGACTTGATTATGAGTTTCGGCTTTAACAAAGCACATGACCATGAGCCTCAGTGTTCCCATCAGTAAAGTTGGGGTGGTGTCTACATAGACCTTATAGAGTCAATTTGAAAGTTAAAGGAATATAAAATATCAGGTGTAGTATCCTTATGACTGGGACTGTGATAGGCTTTCTAAAGGCTGCTACCTCAAAGGCTCTGGGCAGAGAGGTATCCTATAACAGTCAGCCCAGGGACTTCTCTCTCTCTCTCTCTCTCTCTCTCTCTCTCTCTCTCTCTCTCTTTCTTTCTTTCTTTCTTTCTTTCTTTCTTTCTTTCTTTCTTTCTTTTTGATACAGGGACAGGGTCTTTGCTGTGTAGTTCAAGCTGTCCTTGAACTCAGTATGTAGCCCAGGCTGGCCTTGAACTTGAGGCGATCCTCCTGCCTCAGCCTCCCAAGTGCTTGGATTAAAGTGTGCACCACTGTATCAGGCAGGTAGAGGCAGTCCTATTTAAATCTGAGCAGAAAGTATCAAGTTAATGTGCCTGTTATAAAGGGACACATCATTCTGGGACCAAGTTATAAGAGAGATTGGCTATATATCTCAGACCAGCTTAATGAAGGGGTTCTAAGATAAGGTTTATTCACATCACAGTATTCAACACGGTAGTCCACTTTCATCTTCAGCAATTATATTCCAAGACTCCCAATAGATGACCCGAAACCTTATGTAATACCAGACCATATAGACAAGCCCCCAACACAAGATTGAGATGGCTGCTAAGGGACTAGTGGGTTGGTAGCATGTACAGCATGGAGGCACTGGACAAAAGGATGATTCACCTCTTGGGAGGGATGGAGCAGAATTTCTTTATACTACTCAGAATGGTGTGTAATTTAAAACTTAACCTGTTCATTGCTGGAATTTTTCCATTTAATATTTTCTGACTGGTTCACCATGGCAAACAAACTGGAAAGTAAAACTGCAGATGGGGGGGAACCACAGAACATCCTCTCTCTCTCTCTCTCTCTCTCTCTCTCTCTCTCTCTCTCTCTCCTCTCTCATATGTGTATGTGTGTACACACACGTACACCATCCCAGCCCCAAAAGACACTCAGCAGAAATTATACACACATGTATCTTATTTATAGTCAAATTAAATCTGAGAATATGACACAGATGGGAAATTCCCACTCACATACTCAGATTCCAGCTGTAAGTGCAGCAGATGGATGTTATCAAGTCAGGATTTTCTTGTCTTAACATTTCTCTTTAGTACGTCTGGCTAATTGTCAACATCCTCCTCACAATATGGAAATGTGCAGGCTCCGTACTCCCTAAAAATTCTTTTTGACACTTTATACCTCTTTTATTTGCCTCCTGAAAATGAAGTCAAATTTGATCCATTTGGAAATGTCATCAGTATATTTTAAAACCCCATAAACCGCCAGTATTTCCTAAGCAGGCTGGCTGTGCAGAAAGCAGCCCTTCTACATTCGACCATGAGGGGGCAGTGTTCACATTTGGTCTGCGGTTTTGCAGTATGCCTGATCGTTTCCATCTGACCATTGGAAAGGTTGTTAAGGATGCTTTTTAAAAATATGCAGTTATATATTTTAAAAAACAAAAAACAACCTAAATATATGAAGTCTATCTGTTTGTTTTGGAGCATGTTTCATAAGTGATCTTAATTTGCATTGTTAAGCAGTAAGTCAAGCTCACTATGCTACATTTTGGTTAGCTGACAGAAAAATACAGAAAAATACAGAGCAGACCTCAAGAGAGTAGTCACTGAAGAAGTATTTACTGAGGCCCTACTATGCGCCAGGCATTTGTGAGGCAGGAAGTGGAACCACTGAGCTAAATCCCCGGCTGTGCCAGGCATTTGTGTTAGGGACACACAGTGGACAAAACAAAGATGGAGCTTACTTATGGTGTGTGGGGAAGAGAGAGCAGATGACAGTTTATAAACTAAATAAGTCATTATGTTAGAAAATACAGCCACCTTTGTGTATTGTGAATTCAACCAACCTTGGGTGGAAAATATTTAAGAAGGGTCAGGGATTTAGCTCAATGGTTCTGGCCTGCCTCACAAGTGCAAGGATCCAAGTTCAATCCCTGTTACCAACATAATAATAATAATAATAAATAAAATATTCAAGAAGTAATTTCATTTGCATATCTTTTTCTTGTCATTAGCTCCTAAACACCATGATATAACAACTATTTACATAGCACATGTTATCTTTAATATTATAAGCCATCTAGAGATGATTTAAAGTGTACAGGAGAATATACATAGGTTCTGTGCAAAAAATTGCCAATTTATATAGGGGACTTGAGCATCTGTCCCCTATGGATACCAAAGGATGACTGTAAGTGCTGTGAGAAAAATGGAGCAGGCTATAGACAACTGCTACGTGGGCGTGGGGACAGGTTTGCAATATTAAGAGCGTCACTGGGGTGAGATGTGACAGAGACTGAGGCAGATGATGTGGTCTTGTGGACAGCTGAGGGAACAGAGTCCCACCAAGTGGGAACAGCAGTTGCAAAGACCAAGTTAGGAGCATTGCTGGCATGCATGAGGAGCAGTGAGGATCCTCACCCCACCATGCCTCCCCTTCAGAACAGCAGCAGTTGACTCTCTGGACATTGGTTTGTCCAGAAGCCTCCCTGTCCTGTGGTATCACACTCACTTAATTTTCTTTTGGCAGTACTGGGGATTGAACACAGGGACTTCCCACTGAATGACATCTCTGGTCCTTTTTAGTTTTTGAGACATGATGTCTCAAAGCTGCTTAGTTGCCAAAGCTGGATTCAAACTTACAGTTTTTCTGTCTCAGCCTCCCAGAGTACTGTGACACATTCTTTTTTGTTGTTCTTCTATGCAGCCTTAAATGGCAGCTTAGATCTTGTTTCCCCTGATCTCTCCTGCATGCTCTTGTCCATGTCCTTATACTTTTAATCATAGCCTATAGAAAGGTCATTAATAATGCTGAATTTAGAGCAGCAGTGCTGACTCTTCGGGAAGCTGTGGACTCCTAGATCATCTGTGTGGCAATGTCCCTGAGTCTTCTCAAACCTCGCTTGGACCTGATGGCTCCCTCCAACCCCACAGCCTGGGCCTCCTTGGGATTCCCTGTGTTCCCAGCACACCTCTGCTACCTGGGTTCTGTTGGGGCTCAGGACATACTGCCTCAACATCTGACTGTGGAGGAGAATATACCACAGCAAAATACATTCCTCAGACATATTTTGAGCAATCATGCTGGGAAACCACAGACCCTGGAGTAACTCAGAAAAGCTTTCCTTTTGCACAAGACATTTACATCTTGAATAAATCTACATTCATAGATACCTTTATGGGGAAGAGGGCTGCTGGTAACAACTCTGACTCTGAGAGATTTTATCTGCATCAGATCACATTTAGTCACCACACACTTCCTCCCTCAACCTCACACAATCCCCAGAAGCCACAAGCCTCTGCTCCTGAATGCAGTTTAGTTCCCTGGCCCTTCTAGTTTTATTATTTTGCAGTACATTCACATGTATGTACATAATCAAGTGTGGCTACTCTCCTGTTAGTCTGATTTATGTCTTTAACTCACAGCCCAGCCAAAGACCTAGAGAGATAAAGGGAAGCCATGTTTTGCTCCACTGGCATTCCTTTTGCCTTCACTAAGCCTGTGGCCTGGTACCTTGTCCCAGAAAAACAAGAGAAGATTTCACTTTATGCAACAGATACATATCAACACTGTTCCAAAAAGAAGGTCTGTATGCCTTCCTCGTGTTGGCCAAAAATGCCCTGCTGGAAGCAGTCCTGCCAGAGCACTCAATTTGGAAATGCTTCTAGGGAAACAGATAGTTAAACAATGAATTTTTTAAAAGAGTAAAACAAGTTCTGTTTTCCTACTTCGCTAATGGTGGTCTTCCCTGGGGCCCTCCCTGAGGGTGTTTGCCCAAGCTCTGTTTCTTCCCTAAGCAAGGGCAGAATAAAAATAGCTGAGGGCTAATCTAAGAGATTGCAGAGGGGCGGCTAAGCAGTGTTATCAAGAATGAAGGGCTGCAGCCTGGGGCAAAGGGAGGGGGTTGGTGTTATCACCCCAATGTCCCTTGGTCCCCAATAGAAGGCCCAGGCCAACACCCAGAGCCCCAGGTCCCCTGTATTTGGGATGGTGTTGGATGTGTTGCATCTTTAATGGGCCATAGTGCCATGATCCAAAGTGTGGCCTTCAGTGGCAGAGACCCAGGTTCTCATTATTCTCTTCCTGGCTATGTTCCTGGGCAAGCTGAACACCCTCTCTGTTGTGAACACCCTCTCTGTTGTTTCCCCGATTGCAACATGGGGACAGCTGGACAGAGGCACACTTTTAGGGTTGCTGGGGGCTACACCCACCCAGAGCTGACATGCTGCCTCCCACACTGTTTCCTTGAGGGCTGACCTCTTGTCTCCAAACAAAAGCCAAATGGCCTATCCCCCCTTTCACTTCTGGACTTCATGTTGGAAAACAGTGCTTAGCAAAGAGGAGGATGCTGGAGTGGCAAGGAATCAGGACTCAAGGACTAAATAGAGCTCCTCACATGACAAAGGGCTGAGATCTACACAGGCAGGCCCTGAAAAGGCCATCTTTCCCATGCTAGGGGGAAAGTCAGTGGAATCAGCTCTGTGGAACATCCTACATGGAACATCCTTTTTTATTATCATTCTTAAACATTTGTTTCCCCCTCACTCCCCTGTGGACTTGTTCACTGGCATAGAGTTCTCCTAGATCAATGTGGATCCACAGGGTAGCAAATGCATATGGCCTGAGACATGAGCTATAGCC